CCTGAAGAACAAACCGCAAACCCTAACCACTTCCACTTGCAACGAGGACAAGTGCCACGGGACTGTCCAGCGTTCGGCATCTTTATCAACAGTGTTGTAATTAACACGTATTAATTGAACGTGATATAAGCCAAATGAAAAAGGATCATTATGAATATCTAGATAAATAAGGAAGAATAGAATGATATTAAAAAGAATTATAGACATATATTGTATCCTTGGTGTGGACTGGCTACAACTGACTCGGGATATTTTTTTTAAGTCGGAGGAAAAGTTCGGTTATCAAAAAAGCAGATTACCGCTGTGCCAACTCCCCTTGGAGTAAAAGAAGAAATTACAAAATGTTTTCGTACGCTAATGCTAATGTTCCAGTAACTAAAAGGCACAGAAGCTGGGGCATTCGGAGGTAAACCAATGCAATCTGGAGAGGACAGGGCATGTAAGAGAAATGCGTACGAGGTTTGGTCGGACGATAGTGAAGGGCAGAGATCATTGAGAAGATCTAGCCACAGAAGGACAAAATATACTAAAACACATCATAGATAGAGTGGGGGGTTGGACTGAATTATTTGGCTCTCGTAAACACAGTAAGGAATCTCCGGGTTCTAAAAAAGTTGGGCACTTTCTTGGCTCGCAAAATAACTATCACCTTTCCAAGATTGACTTTGTTCCACAGAGTTAAGCTAAAATAACTCGAGACTCAAGGCAAGGCCTCTCCTACACAAACATTAGCCAGCGATATTTAAAAATAAATTAAGTTTGATTTAGCTTCCACACAAACGTTAATGGTCATATCAGCATGGCTTGAGACACAAGTTCCACAGTTGGTCTAAAACAGTCATTTATTTGCATATATATAAGTCCTACATAAAATGTCCTAGGGCAATCAGCCGCGTCAAATGATTACACGAAGAGACCAACGTTTCGGGAACCAGCTATCTCCACTGGACACCGGTCTCTTCGTGTAACCATTCGACGCGGCTGATTGCCCGAGATTTTATTGAGTTTAGTCGCTGCGAAAGCTTCAAATCATACTACAACTTTGAAATCCATAAATATTATTCTAACAACCTGGAATTAAAGAAGAAGAATTATCGTTATTATAACTTTGAACTCCATAAATATTATTCTAACAACCTGAAATTAAAGAAGAAGAATTATCGTTATTAAAATTATATAGTTCGCCACTGAACCCCAATTCCTCAGTCATTACACGTTATTTAAAACGTGGCTGGAGACGCCGTATTCAAATAGAGAACGAATGCAACACTTTATTTCTGTAACTTAACTTCTATATATGTTTACCAAATAATCTAACAAATACTCACCATTAACGAACACGACAGTATTTACAAACGTCTGTAATTCTGAAAAGTGGACTAAAAATGGAACACACTACTTTTAGTCACATTGCACACGTCAATCACATCACCTCACTACTAATACACAATCCGAATGACAGCGTATGTAGTGTGCTGCCGTCCGACGACAAATTCAGAAATTAGAAATTTAAAAATATGACGAACGAAAGATGGTATATGTAAAAAAACAATTGCTGAACTGGAATAAAATTCTAAAATAGCATTCACGAGTAAAGGGCAATAAGTAAATAAATATTTATCTTAATATATATTTGCATAATCGTAGTAAATTGCTTTCAAGAATTACAGGAAAATCTAAACTAATAAACATTCATATCTATAAATATTATCCCATAAAGCACACAATCCCGTAACAGCAAATGACCAACCAATACTAGCCTATACAAGAGATCTACAAAACAAGGTCATGCAAAGACGAGGGCCGCGTGCATTTTGTGTTAATGTGTAAAAAGGCTTTCCGCTTGGTCAAAATTATTTATACCTCTGAGCAATTTCTCATATTCGCGACAGCAATATACTGTAACAGCATGCCATATGCACTACTTGTGTGACGATATTGTCAGGCTGGTATCTTGAAAAAGTCCGCAACCACTTCTAAACACACCCTCCCTTGTTTGTTAAATAACGTAATAATTAATCTTGCACTGAATTTAATACTGAAATGATCTGAATTTAAACCAATCCAAGAAAGGAAAAGCAGCACACGGAAGACCAGAGAGAGATAATAACCATCCATTATTTAGATACCACGCACAGGACTGCATGCAGCGTCATCTGTCGTGTGAGACGAACATTAACTCACTGCTGGTTCACTTGTCTTCAAGCATTGCTCGCTGATGCCGCCACTATAGCGTACGGAACACAACGCGATCTATTGCCTGGTCCAACACTACGCATACATTAAGAAAACCATAAGAATATTTGCAGGAGGCAAAATATTCAAAGAAAACAATCAATTTGAATATTCGGAGTGAATGCTCTTACTTTCATATTTATGAAAGTACAAATAAGTAAAAAAAAAAAGTCAGCCCCCAGGGAGGATCGAACTCCCGACCCCTGGTTTACAAGACCAGTGCTCTAACCACTGAGCTATGGAGGCTGCAAAGAAGCGGTATTCTCCTCGCGTATATAATTATACGTAAGTGTACTATTGCAGAATTGTATGCTAATACAGCAAAATTAATCAATAAGTGACGGTATGATAACTGAATACAAATTATTTTTGATATCACAACATAATATTAAGACAACAAGAATGTAGCTGAGAAACGATAAACTTCGGGCAGTGTTCATTTTTATGCCGTACCCATCTACACAATCGATATTACCAAATAAAAATTATAGTTCTGTATTTTGCATTTCTGCATGTTGAATGTTGTGGAAGTGCCATTAGTTGGAAGACACACAACTATTCGTTCCCAAAATACATTTCTGACAACAATTTTAGAAGGCATGTACTTCAGTCTCTTTAGCACGCACACACATCACGAATCGCCCAAGTTCTTGCAAAGTCCAGTTCTACTAATGCTTAATGTACTAAGACAAAATATATTAAATTAGATCAAACTAAATAAATCTAATACATCTTAACCTTCCGCTGAGTTGGAAAAATGAAAGCACTTCAAAATACGGTAAATAATATTTATAGTGACTTCGTTTGTAGAACTGCAGTAATCTAGTGCAACTACGTCAAAATATCACGAC